TCTAATTCTTTTCTTTCTCTAACATTAAGAGATCGACACCATTCATGAGTGTATTGGGTGAAGGTTTTAGTGGCTAAAGACATGATTATTATTTCTAATGAGGAGAATAATTTTTCACTAGAATTATGAGAAGAATCAGCTGAGTAGGGGGCTATTTATGTACAAATTGCGAAGAATTTTAATCTGAATGAAATACGGAGTCAGCGTCAATTGGCGTCAAAACCCCGACATTGGCGCCACCCTCCAGAGCCTGGCGCTACACGCTAAGCGTAGCGCCTGGCGCCACGCGCCATACTATGGCGCCAGTTGGCGCCAAGTCATCAGGGCAGCCGCGCGTGCTCAGTTTACGTTTTTGATATTAAACTTGAGTCGGTTAATGACTTTATGGTCCTGTTTGATTTTTTCTAAATATCTTTTCTATCTTTTTCCTTAATGAATTAAATATCGCAATTATTTTTAATTTTAAAAAAAAACCAGCATTTTTTCCGTTTTCTTTGCCTTTTATTTTTTCTTTTTGGGGGAGAGAGTCGGATAATATCCTCCATCAATAATAAAAATGACGGAATTTTTGCGCAAAATTGATATCACACTTCCCTTGCACACACTAACATGCACTAACATAATAATAAACAATCAAATGAATTTACGATAACATAAAAATACAAAAGTGTCTAAATAATGAGTCAAAGGCAAAAGTTCTATAAGTCAAAATAAAATACATATACAGAAAAAGGATACGGTGCCGGGGGACGTAGGCCCATCATGTCGTAAAACTGCGCCGTACGAGGAGTCACCTCTCCACCAGCTCCAGCCTCAGCACCAGCTCTAGTCTCCGTAGGAGGAGGAAGACTCAAGACAGGACCGCTCCAGCCAAGATCAACCTGAGGCTGAGACCGCGGAGGCTGCTGCAATGACGAGCCAACCTCGTACATCCCACCACCTCTGAAAGCCGAGGTAGCCTCTCCTACCGGTGCAGCAGGAGCACCCTCAGAAGAAGATCCCGAGCCCTCAGCAACGTCGGCTCGAGCAGCCTCGGAACGACCACCTCTACCTCCTGACGAAGTACGACGACGTCTCGAGATAGACCTCGCTGGATCTCTCCGCCCCTCAGGTCTCGTACGGGTGTGAGAAGCGATGGGCTGACCCTGCAAAATGAATTAAATCAGAAACAAGGTAAAACTGAAGCCATAATGCAGAAACAATAAGTGAAGAAAGGTTACCTCTTGGACAACGTCGTCCCGATGATAGGTAGCCGCGTTCCTCATCCGGACGAGCTGGCTCCGGAAGGCATCTATACATCGTGCCATAGCCGAAACCACCTCGCGTGAGAACTGTCAAAAAAATAAGTCAGTGAAAATACATGATAAATGAATACAAAATTCTGAATTAAAACTAGGCTTACACTAGTCTGGTGGCGAGGAATCGACCGCTCCACAAAGCGCTCGCCCTCGGGAGCCGGAGAAATCATCTCCTCGATCGGCCCGTATACCCCCTGGTAGTGACTGGACATACGGGGCGGCATAAACTCAGTGGGACCATCCTGATAAAACGGAAAGAAATCAGTAAGGTATTACTTGGGGGCTACTTAGCGAAAAATAAAAAAGCTAAGACTCTTACCCTCACATCCTCAGCCGGTACAGGGGTTGGAGCTAATAAAGGTAGTAGCTCCTCAGCGTAACACCGCCCAAGGATCACATGGGACCGCCATAGAGAACCAGATCCCTCGGCCATGCTCGACAGTTGTCTCTCGTCGAACATATGACGTCACTAGTACAAAACTAACCTCAAGTAACACCCAAAAAATGTTACATAAAATGGTAAAAGTGTTATTATAGACAATAGGTAACACTTTACTGGGTTTTGTGTTCTGTTATACATTGGTGAATGATTAGTTGCTGAATGCACTTGCAAGATTAATATTTGCTATTGTTTTGTGTTATTTGTGTTCTTTAAGTCAAAATTTGTTGTCAGTGTGTAAATGTTTACTTGTCTAATTCAAAACACAATTCATAACAAAGCACATGGTTATCTTGGATAATGCACATGGTTATCTTGGATAACCAGGGATAATGCACAAAGTTGAAACCAAAAGTACTTGTTTCATTCATTACTAAATAAAAATAGCATTACAAGCAGCATTCACTCCACCTCCCCCTTAAACAACCTTATTTAATACAACACAACCTAAAACTAAAAACACTAAACACATAAGGACTACAACAACCATAAGCTTGCTGTCAGAACACCCATTGCCGTTGATCATCTTCTTCCTGTCACCACTTAGTGCCTTGCATTTCACTCCCAAAGTATCAAGCTCATTTAGTAAGCATCTCCTTTGGGCAGTGAGTTCATCCACCTGAACTTTCAGTGTGTTGACTTCACCCTTCATCAACATTTTGTCAAGCACAAGTTGGTTAATCACATCTCTCTACCACTCAGTCCCATCACTGTCAATCCATTCAAAACACTTACAACCCCTAGTTTCAGTGTTAGGATCATAAAATTTGCAAGCCTTGAATTTCCTGCCTGGGTTCTTCCTGGTCCTAGATGTCAACTTTGCAAAAGGTAGCCACAGTTGCATTTATTCTGGTTTGAGGGAGATGTGTTATTCCAAGACATCATGAAACCTGAAATTAGCAAACATGTTACATCAAGCAACAATACCAACAAACAACCAATTACAAACTAATTACTCAGTCACACCTCTTCACTATGGTGGTTGGCCACCAAAATGGGGATAACCAGGGGGTGGCCAAGTCCCATTTTGCTTCATCCTATACTTAAAGATACAGTCAGCCAAGAAACCTGGGTCATATGTGCTTCCAACATGTATAGTGTATATTTCCTGATTAGGTAACCTCCTAATCATCTTGAACACATCTCCATCATCTTCTAAAGTCCTATACTCTCCTTTATAAATATACTGGAATATGGGGTACAGGAGGTCAATCGATCCTTCTATTGGATCATCCATATCACGAAGTTGATCTTCAAATTGTATTGTTGTATCTTGTAAGTTAATTTTGCCAATCTCATATTCAAGGTCAATAAGAACACTCAAGTACTTAAATCTCAAAACCACCTTATTCTCTTCCATTTCTGCCACAACAAGTAAACATACAAGCTTACAACATGTTCAAATCCATCCTAACACTACTTAAGTAAACTAATTGCAAATAAAATTTCACCACAATAAGCAACAAATAATTGACAGCAAAATGATAAATTGGGTGAAGAACAAGAACCCTAATTAACTATTGACCCAATTTTCCCCATTTACAATAAGATAAGAACCCTAACTTGCGAAGTATAAGAACCCTAATTTGTGAAGAATAAGAACCCTAATTAACTAATAAACTAGTTTTCCCCAATTTAAGTACAATAAGAACCCTAAATTTAAAGAGTAATTCAATTTACCTTATGCGAATTCACCTTCTTGCTTTGTTGAGGATGCGTATACAATTACAAAGTGGCTGAATTTGTGGAATTTGGGGAGAATTTGCAATAGAAATCATAAATTAGGGTAGGGGATATGTTTTATAGGAAAAATCGGGGGGATTTCAATTTGGAAGCAAGAATTAGCCGTTAGGAGGGCCCCACACATCAGAATTCAACCAGAAGGTGGTAATCTGCGTAATTAATTAATTAATTTAATGGGTGGTATTTTAAAATAAAATTTTTAACAGGTGGTTATTTACAAAATGACTCTATTTTTGGGTGGTAATTTAAAAAAATTCCAAAAAAAAATTCTGAACATCGCAAATTTTGAACATTTAGTAAAAAAAATCTAAACAATCGCAATGCACCATATCTATACTTTTGAACATTTTAGTAAAAAAATATGAACAATAACAAATTTTGAACATTTAGTAAAAAAAATCTGAATAATTGCAAATTTTGAATTATTACGAGTCAGACCAATTTAAAACGAAGTTTTTCTGACTCGTAATAATTCAACAGTTTTGTAATATAAACTGAACATTTACTGTAAACAAAATGAACATTTCTTTATAAAATATGAATATAAAAATTGCATGTTTATGTTCAGCTTTTGTGACGTGCTCATATATATATATATATATATATATATATATATATATATTTATATATATATATATATATATATATATATTACTAAATGTTCATTTTTTGTAAAATGTTCATTTTTTTTACTAAATGTTCAAAATCATAGACGTGGTGCACCTATTTTTAGGTGCAACATGGTGCACATAATGCTAATTACACCCCATGCCCACGAGGCAAGATTAGCCTGGGACGATAGAAGGTGGGCTTGAATCACCTAGCCTCTTGGAAAACACTGAACGTTCATCCCCTCAATCCTTGTTATAAACTCCCTGCGAACAACCTACATTCATCATTTCAAAGTAATTCCTTCTTGTCCAAATTTTAAAGAGAATAATGGCAATACATGTTATGTTCCATTGAAAAAATTTATAATAGTCGCTTGACATATGATTGTCATAATATTTTAACGATTATATGGTTCATAATTGACATATTTATCTCCAAATAATAAATTATTTTATTATATTTTTCGTATAAAATAGTATTATTAGCATTTTTTTATTTATCAAATTTTTTTGTTTCATTTATACAATTTTTTTATTATTAATTCATAATTTCTCAAAATACAATTATTTTATTATGGATTAAACTTTTCAAAAATTATATTTACATTGTGGATGTTAGGAGACTAATTATATCCATTTTATAGTTCCATAGTTCGTTTAGAGTAGGGAAGATTCAGTACGAGTTAATGGATATTATAGGGGATCCATTAACATGATCATTAGTATCATATATAGTCAAGGGGGCATTGCACCAATCCCAGACTCCGATCCACAAGCTTTAAGGCAATATCTTAGCGCATAAATAAAGGATAGACTCAGACTAACATAAAATCAAAGACTCAAAGAAGGGAGTATAAGGAAAAGATAAAATATACTTATTAATCTTGAGAACATATAAGAAGTATACAATATAGAATTTTACAATTACTTTGTTGTTACGAAACATGTAAAGTGGGCTATGTATATACCCTTTATTATAACAAATTTATAAATAATTGTGTTGGACATTGAAATAAATCGAGAGCTTAGAAATAAGTATTAAGAACCCAGGAATAGTTAAAGATGGATATCAAGCTGTGCCAAAGATTTGCTTCATCCGCATAACTTCCCTACGACTCAAAAGTGTAATATCCTGGGCAATGTCAGCAGATAAATTCCCAGCAAATAAAGCAGTAGGAGTGAGTTGTAATGCAGGGTTTGCACCATTCAGACTGACATGGGCAGTAGCCGGAGTTTTACAAACGTTAATTTGGAAGTGAAGCATGGCCTGTGGAAACACCATGACATCACCAACCTCTAATCTTTTATAGTATGATGTGTTGTTGGTGTCAATAAATCCTGCTATAATTGAGCCTTTCACTAAAAGAAGAACTTCTGACGTACGATGGGAATGTACTTGGATCACTCTTCCTACAGCGAAGTCTAACCTAGCCATAGATATACCTAAACCATTAAAGGCCGGGAACACATCAGAAAATGCTAGTGTCACATTGTTCCCAAATACGTTATTGGGTGTTTTTTTCACCACGGAAACCTGTGTAAACAAAATCATCAGTTGTGACTTCAGCAGGATCTTTGCAAGCATATCCTCCAGGCCCTCTAGGAAGACTAAGATCTCCCACACAAAAGTCGAGTTCTATAGCATGTGAGAGAGACGATAAGAGACAAAAGACAAAGAAAAACGAAAGGTTTCTCATTTTTTTAGAAGCTAGAAATAGGTGGTACAAATGGTGGATTAAATGAGAGAAGTAAAAGGTAGGTTGTATAGATGGTTTGATTGTATTTTCTTTGCGGCAATCGACACCCTTTATATAGTATTGGCTGAGCATGCAAGTTTACGCGGCTTAAAAGAATAATAATTGATGTATGCGATATTGTTAAGAGGAATTTGACTATTTGAGAGATCCACTTGTTTAACCAATTCATTTTTTTTAAGTATCATTTTATTGACTCAAAGTTTCCATTTATAAAAACCGTTGAAATTGTTTATTAATAGGTTTTTTTTTCTTTGTTGATTAAATAGGTTTAATTGATTTTAGCAAGATTTAATTAAGGGATTGTTTAGTTCATCAAAGGGAAAGGGAATGACTTAAACAAAGGGAACGGATCGGAAAAGAATAGAATGTAATTCCCTTTGTTTTGCAATGTTGTTTGTTTTATACAATAATAAAATCACAACCACCATACAACCACCATAAAAACTACCAATAATTCACTTTTCCTTTTCCTTTTTCTCCGACCACTGTGAATATTCCAACCTTCCAGTCACCCCACTGTATCCAATCGCCGCCCCTCTCCCTCCCCACAGTTGACAAGGACAACCGTTGCAATCATGGTCGTATGAAGGGGAGGTTGCTGTTCGGCGACGAGGGTGGTGGGAAACTTGGTTCGGTTGTGGGGAATCTTGCACCTAGGGTGTTTGGCTAGGCGTTTTACGAGGAGAAAATAGGGTTTTTTAAGGTTTTAGCGAGGACGGGGGAAGGTTTCGGGGGCGGCGAAAGGTGGGGAAGGGACGGTGGTGAAGTGGTTGGTTTTCCGGTGGTGTGGGTAGCTAGGTAGGTGGGTGGTCCGGTGGTTTCTATAGAATGGGAATGGAAATACCTAGGGGGTGAGGAATCAACTTAGAGAGATTTGGGGGAATGAAGAGGGTAAAGGGAATGGAAAAAAGACCTAACAAACGACAACAAAGGGAATGAGGGTAGTTGATTCCCATTTCCTTTGATGAATACCCCCAACCAACGACCCCTAAGAATAATGATATATACCGTCGTCCTTAAAGCTGTAATTAATACTTAACCTTACGTTTCCGAATGCTATTGGTTCATAACAGTTTGATTTTAGCATTGTTCATTTATTAAATTTTACTACATTTATTTTACTAGAATGTATATACTCGTTTTTTTTAGTAGGAAATTAGCAAAAGAATAACGTATCTCATTTTTACAACAAAAAATAGTTGTCCAAAATTCGATACATTTTTCTTACGCAAAACGAGGCACTTGCGTTATTTTTATGCTAATTTCGAGCTCAATTCAGATCCTTTAAAACTTAAAAGGCCTCTTAAGCCTTGTTGGAGTAATTTTCAATATGTAAACCGATGAAAAAGTTAAATCGGACTGTAATTTACAATTTAAATGAACTTTTGGCTGCAATTCGCAATTTTTTTTTTAAATGGGTGTAATTTGCAAAATACTAACTTTAAACAAATGCAATTTGCAAATTTTCTTTTTTTAGTAATACATAATTGCAATGTAAAATATATATTGGCATGTATTTATGTTAGTCAATCTATACTGAGTGTTCAAGAACACAAGGAGTAATATATTATTATTACTTATTAATTAATGAAATACAGGGTACTTAAATTAGGATTACATGACAAAATTACACATAGGGTTATTACTTTCTTTTACCTAGTTATTAAAAAAAAATTCAGTTTTTAGGCTTGAATGTATTTTTTTGGTATTATGCTTAAAATATATCCGTAATAGTGCTAGTACAATATTAGTAATGCCCCGTAAAAAAAAAAAAAAAAAAAAAAAAACATTAGTAATGTAGCTTGACTTTCCTCTTAAAAGATGCTTGTATGATTTAAATCATTTAATAGTAATTTTTTTTTTCTGTATTATTAATTTGTCACCGGCATTCAGCCCCACAAATTTGACTAAATACATGATAATATGAGACTAGAATTATTTTTAAAAAAATTGTCTGATGTCTGGTCTTATATTCAACTATTCAAGATATGTAGACCTTGTAACAAGCAGTGCTACATTTCAAATTATGTACAAGAGATTACGCAATAATAATGTATTAATTTGGCTAATTGTTTTCTTTATTGGGGTCACTTAGCTTGGTAATTATAAAATCTTTCAAGTTACATTTTTTTAATGATTAAAAGAGTCTTAAAATGAATAAAAGCTATACCATGGCCAATATATATATTTTTATATATAATTTACCCTAATACAAAAAAATAAAAAAAAATAAAAAAAAATTATATACTTCTATGATAATACACTCTTTAAATAATTGAAAATCAGAGAGTGAGGGGTATATAGCTTAATTATTAGTTAGAATTTTCCTCTGGATTCCAGGAATGTTAAAGCCCAATTCTCATCACTTGATCATGTAATTTCTTCTGCAAAAACTTTTTTATACGCCCGGTTTACACTAATATTAGTGTACATCGAGTAATATAAGGGTAACTTTTAGCTAATTTTAGGGTAACTTTTTACCTTTTTTGGGTAACTTTAAACATAATACAATTTTTATATAAATAGATAACAAGAAAAGTTTTATAAAGTTAATTTAATTACATTCAATCACTAATAATTGGTTTTTTGTCATTTAAAATGTGATTCTTTACTAATAAAACGTAGATAATTTTTATTTGTATTGGGTTACTTTTATGCATATTGGGATAACTTTTATTCATTTCAAGGATAACTTTTGCTCATTTTAGGGTAACTTTATATTGGATGTACAATATTTTATTGTACATACGATTTTTTTTTTAAAGTTTATCATTTCTTCCAAACCAAAAAAAAAAAAATCAAATCTCAAATGCATGAGATTTGAGTAGGTGTTTTCGGGGTTGTGGTTGAATCACTCTACAATCATATAAAAGATTAATAATATTTAATTTCTATTAGTGATCTTTACATCAGGGTTTGGATTTCATTTTAGCTACCGATTATTGTGAGTGTTTAATTAAGGAAAAATATTGTGTAGAATGGACTCACGTGAGTCCAATCATACAAAAAACAAATTTGTTAGAAATTAGATAAAATGGTCAGATATTAGTTAATAAGTATCAAAAATTAGATAATAAGGAGTTAGTATTATATAATCCTGGATCATATACTCCATACCAATTATGATTGAGTTATTTTGCCTAAACCTTATGTTATTTTGCTTAAAACTTGTGTTATTTTGCTTAAACAGTATGTTATTTACTTATTTACTTCAACATGTAAAAAAAAAGCAAAAAAAGCATGCAAGAACGAAATAATATGTACTTATTTAAAAAAATAACATATATATAAATTGAAATAATAAGAAAATCCTATCAAAATAACATGAATTTTATAAACTTGGAGTACATTGAAATGATCGATGTTGAATATATATATATATATATATATATATATATATATATATATATATATATATATATATATATATTCGTATATGCAAGTATAAAATAACATGAACTTATTTCAAAATATCATATATATATATATCAAAATAATAAGAAGTTCACATCAAAACAACTTTAATTTTATAAACCTGGACTACCATGCATGGTACTCTAGGAGTAACATAGAAATTACGGATAATAAGTATCAGAAATTAGATATTATTGGTCGGGTATTAGATAATAAGTATCAGGAATTAGATAATATTGGTCAGATATTAGATAATAAGTATCAAATATTAAATAATAAGTGTCAAAAATTAAAAAATATTGATCAGATATTAGAAAATATTAATCAGATATTAGACATATAGTCGGTAAATACACAACTGCTGCAGTAGAAAGCCTTACTGCATTTAGTGATCTGAAAACCAGCAACAAACCTTCATGACCAAGGGATTATTATGCACTGTGAAATCAAGTGATGAGCAAATGAAGGTCACGCTACCATCTCAACCACGTTTGCTGTTTGCACGAAGGACTAAGAGAAAATGAAAATTTTCAATCAACAATCAAATACAAAGCATGGAACAAGGCAGTAACAGATTAAACAAGGGTGCACATCAAAACTTGAACAGAAAGAATTAAACATTTGAAGCAAGGGTGGAGTAGTGACTAAGAGTTGTTTGATTGGTGCGTGTTGTACGATGGATGGAGCAGCAAGTAGAGGTTTTGGCTCGGCGAGTGGTGGACGGTACTACGGTAAGGAGTTGGGGATGGGAGGGGGAAGGTGGTCATTGGCCACCGGCAAATGTCTAGGTACTGGTAGTGATAGTGGGTGAGGAATGGGTGTGTATGCATTATAAACGGGACTCACGTGAAACGATCTCACGCAAAACCTTCTCTTATATTAAAGGGTGCCTCCTCAACTCTCTTCGATCTCTGTCTTTGAGGGTTTTTTGGCTGTCTTTTGCGCCAAAAATAATCTAAATTCTTCAAAAATTAAAATATTTTCAATCCTTATTCTTTTAATTCAATTTTTTTTTTCTTGCTTTGTTCTATCCTTCTAGGAGAGTCTTCTGTCCAATTTCTTGGAATTTTGGTTTTAACCTATGGATGAGATTTTTTTTTACGATTTTCATTATTGGGAAGGTGATTTGGATTCGCATAGTCCAGGTCAGGTTTAGGTCTTGTCATCAGCTTTATAATCAAAACATACATCACTGCATAATGTGAAAGTTTAACTAGCTCACTCTACTTGAGAAGATAAAAATACATCAAAATCAATGCTCACATCAAGCTTGAAGCTAGCGTTGGAGTATGAGCTATGCTGAAATTGCAAAAAAGTTATGATTTTGATTGTTAGAGTATTGTTCTTTTCTCTAAATTGGTGGTTTATATATGTATATTATCAATGTAGATGTCATATGACTAATAATTATTAATAAAAATTCCCGTTTTAAAAAAATATATATTATCTACTTATATATATAGATGTTTCATTTATTCCATTTTCATATTTTGGTGTCAATGTTTATTGAAAATATGGGTATGGGCTACATTTGCCATCAAGAGAAAAAGTCTACAAAATTTCATACCAAAAGCATGTAACAAAATGATTATGGGTCTCACTCTAATACATGTTATATATGGGTTTTGGTCGCACCGTCTCTAAGGGATAATCCGCTTTACGAGTTCAAGAAGATTCCATCATAATACCATATTGTAATTAAAGGATTAGAATATTAGCCTTTAAACTATATTTAATACTACTATACAAGAAAAGGATCGACCTAGTTCCGATGGATATATAGCTTCCAAGGACCTGACCCTTTAACATGGTATCACAACTGGGTATATGGGAGATCATGCCAGATCCACACTTCAAACTGATCAAAGAACTCCTATGTAAAGGGGTATGATAGAGTGTATAAATCGATCTTAGGATTCAATTCAACCATCATTTAAGATTTTGGATATCGTTATCTGTTGATGTCTTTGATTTATTCTACGTTTTTTTTTCTCAAAAAAAAAAAGATTAAGTTTGTCTTTTTTTATTTTTTATTTTTAGGAAATGTTAGCCGAGCAATTTTATTAAATTAAATAAAAACTTAGAGGAATAATTTGAACCCTATATAACACATATTGATCCAATGAATTAAATGCGCCAAGTCTGGCCTTAATTTATATTTTTTAAAAAAGGACCTTAATCTAATTACGTTGTCAAAAGTGAAAAGCATACATTAAATGCATAAGTTGACCTACATTCTTAAGGGAATAAATCAAAAGACATCAACAGATAACGATATCCATGCATATGTTATACGCGATAGACTCTCACTAACATAAGATCAAAAATTCAAGAAGGGAGTATAAAGAAAAGATAAATTATACTTATTAATCTTGAGAACATATAATTAGAAGTATAAAATATGAAATTTTACAATTACTTTGTTGTTACAAAACATGTAAAGTGGGATATGTATGTACCCTTTATTATCACAAATTTATGAATAATTGTGTTGGACATTGAAATAAATCGAGAGCTTAGAAATAAGTATTAAGAGCCCAGGAGTAGCTGCTAAAGATGGATATCAAGCTGTGCCAAAGATTCGCTTCATCCGCATAACTTCCTTACGACTCAAAAGTGTAATATCCTGGGCAATGTCAGCAGGTAAATTCCCAGCAAATAAAGCGGTAGGAGTGAGTTGTAATGCAGGGTTTGCACCATTCAGACTGACATAGGCAGTAGCCGGAGTTTTACCAACATTAATTTGGAAGTGAAGCATGGCCTGTGGAAACACCATGACATCACCAACCTCTAATCTTTTATAGTATGCGGTGTTGTTGGTGTCAATAAACCCTGCTATGATTGAACCTTTCACTAAAAGAAGAACTTCTGACGTACGATGGGAGTGTACTGGGATCACTCCTCCTACAGCAAAGTCTAACCTGGCCATAGATATACCTAAACCATTAAAGGCCGGGAACACATCAGAAAATGCTAGTGTCACATTGTTCCCAAATACGTTATTGGGTGTTTTTTCACCACGGAAACCTGTGTAAACAAAATCATCAGTTGTGACTTCAGCAGGATCTTTGCAAGCATATCCTTCATGTCCTCTAGGAAGACTAAGATCTCCAACACAAAAGTCGAGTTCTATAGCATGTGAGAGAGACGATAGGAGACAAAAGACAAAGAAAAATGAAAGATTTCTCATTTTCTTAGAAGCTAGAAATAGGTGGTACAAATGGTGGACAAAATGAGAGAAGTAAAGAGGTAGGTGGTTAAGATGGTTTGATTGTATTTTCATTGCGGCAATCGACACCCTTTATATAGTATTGGCTGAGCATGCAAGTTTACGCGGCTTAAAAGAATAATAAATGATGTATGCGATAATGTTAAGAGGAATTTGACTATTTGAGAGATCCACTTGTTTAACCAATTCAATTTTTTTAAGTATCATTTTATTGACTCAAAGTTTCCATTTATAAAAACCGTTGAAATTGTTTATTAATAGGGTTTTTTTTTCATTGTTGATTGAACAGGTTTAATTGATTTTAGCAAGATTTAATTAAGGGATTGTTTAGTTCATCAAAGGGAAAGGGAATGACTTAAACAAAGGGAACGGATCGGAAAAGAATAGAATGTAATTCCCTTTATTTGGCAATGTTGTTTGTTTTATACAGCAATAAAATCACAACCACCATACAACCACCATAAAAACTACAAATTCACTTTTCCTTTCCCTTTTTATCCGGCCACTGTGAATATCCCAACCATCCAGTCATCCCACCGAAACCCAACGCCGCCCCTCTCCCTCCCCACGAACCCTAGCCCTCAAGAAAGCTCATCAATGGCTGCACAACTGACAAGGACAACCGTTGTAATCACGGCCGTATAAAGGGGAGGTTACAGTTCGGCGACGAGGGTGGTGGGGAATCTTACGCCTAGGGTGTTCGGCTGGGCGTTTTACGAGGAGAAAAGAGGGTTTTTTGAGGTTTTAGCGGATACGGGGGAAGGTTTTGGAGGCGGCGAGGGGTGGCAAAAGGTGGGCAAAAGACGGTGGTGCAGTGGCCAGTTTTCCGGTGGTGTGGTTAGGTAGGTGGGTGCCGTAGTGTGGTGGTTGCTAAGGAATGGGTATCGAAATACCTAAGGGGGTGGGAATCAACTTAGATGGATTTGGGGGAATGAAAAGGGTAAAGGGAATGGGAAAAAAAGACCCTTCAAACGACAACAAAGGGAATGAGGGCAGTTGATTCCCATTCCCTTTGATGAATACCCCCAACCAAACGGCCCCTAAGAATAATGATATGTACCGTCATCCTTAAGGTTGTAATTAATACTTAACCCTTACGTTTCAGAATGCTATTGATTCATAACGGTTTGATTTTGGCATTGTTCATTTATTAAATTTTACTACATTTATTTTACTACAATTTATATACTCATATTTATTAGTAGGAAATTTGCAAAAAAAAACGTATCTCATTTTTACATAAAAAATAGTTGTCCAAAAAATCGATACATTTTTGTTACGCAAAACGAGGCACTTACATTATATTTTTGCTAATTTCGAGCTCAATTCAGATCATTTAAAACTTAAATGGCTTCTTAAGCCTTAACCGAATGATTTTCAATACGTAAATCGATGAAAAAGTTAAATCGGACTGCAATTTACAATTTATAAAAACTTTTGGGCTGCAATTTGCAAATTATTTTAAATGGCTATAATTTGCAAAATACTAACTTTAAATAAATGCAATTTGCAAATTTTTCTTTTTAGTAATACATTATTGCAATGTAAAATATATATATATATATATATATATATATATCCGTAATAGTGCTAGTACAGTATTAGGCCCTGTTCTTTTGAGCTTCTGGACAGAGTAGAGCAGGGGTCAGCAGAGCAGACAAGATTAAATTTCAGCAGAGCAGAGCAGATTTTAGGATAGCAGAGTAGAGCAGAGCAGAGTAGAGCAGAGTAGAGTAGAGCAGAGTAGAGCAGAGTAGAGCAGAGCCGAGCCGAGCAGAGTAGAGCAGAGTAGATTTCAACATTATTATTAATATTATTATTAATGTTATTGTTGTTGTTATTATTATTATTATTATTATTATTATTATTATTATTATTATTATTATTATTATTACTACTACTACTACTACTACTACTACTACTACTATTATTACTATTATTATTATTATTACTATTATTATTAAAATTATTATTATTATTATTATTATTACTATAATTATTATTATTATATTAGTATTATTATGATTACTATTATTATTATTATTATTATTACTATTATTATTATTATTACTATTATTATTATTATTATTTTATTATTATTATTATTATTATTATTATTATTATTAAGTGCATATACGCTTTAGGTGAGTGAAAACATAAATATATGTGTACCATATTTAACATATATTAATAGTGGAAACATAAAAGACAACGGTTTACTTATATTTATTTCACAAAAAAATTAAAATAAAATGATTTAATAAGTAATAATGATTTTACTTATAAATTTGTCTTAATCATATATTTTTTACCCTAAAAATAATAATAATATACAAAGTACTACTTGAAAACAACCTCTTTTTTTTTAAATCTTAAAATGTATGGAAAGGTTTGAAAAATAATTCAACTCAATGAACTAACAATCAATACCCACATAAAATTTTTCTACACATTATGATTCTAATACCAAATGTTTATAAAAGAATTGTTATTAATTTTTATAATTATTATTTATTTATTTGAAAAATTATTATAATTATTAGAAATTATTAATTAATAATATTATTAAATATTAATTTCTAATAGTTTGAATTATTAAATATTATTATCGATAATTATTATTAATAATTATTATGATTAATAAATATTAATTATTATTAATATTAATAATTATTAAAATTATTTTTAATAATAATATTAATTTTTATTATAATTATTCAAAATAATAAATTATTATCATCAATACATTATTAATTATTATTATTGAATATTAATTATTACTGTTGTTCTTATTAATTATTATTTGAAAATAGAGCAGAGCATAGCAGAGTCGAGCAGAGCAGAATAGATTTCTTTTGAGCAGAGCAGAGCAGATCAGGGCTCAATAGAGCAGCGCAAAGCAGAGCAGAGCAGAACAACTCTAAAGAACGGGGCCTTAGTAATGTAGCTTGACTTTCCTCTTTAAATATGCTTCGTATGATTTAAATCATTTAATAGTAATTTTTTTTTCCCGGTATTATTAATTTGTCACCGGCATTCAGCCCCACAAAGTTGACTAAATACATGATAATATGAGACTAGAATTATTTTAAAAAATTGCCTAATGTCTGGTCTTATATTCAAGATATGTAGACCTTGTAACAAGCAATGCTATATTTCAAATTACGTACAAGAGATTGCAATAATAATGTATTAATTTGGCTAATTGTTTTTTTTTTCGGGGTCACTTGGTAATTATAACAATCTTTCAAGTTACATTTTTTTAATTATTAAAAGTTAGTCTTAAATGAATATAATAAAAGGTACACCAATATATATATATATATATATATATATATATATATATATATATATATATATATATATATATATATATATATATATATATATAATTTACCCTAATACAAAAAAAAAATTATATACTTTATTGATAATACACTCTTTAAATAATTGAATATCATAGAGTGAGGGGTATATAGCTTAATTATTGGTTAGAGTTTTCCTCTCAGTTCCAGGAATTTTAAAGGCCAATTCTCATTACTTGATCATGTAATTTCTTCAGCAAAACTTTTGTATACACCCGGTTTACATTAATATTAGTGTACATTGAGCAATATAAGGGTAACTTTTAACTAATTTTAGGGTAATTTTTTGCCTTTTTTGGGTAACTTTAAACATAATACAATTTTTATATAAATAGATAACAAGAAAAGTTTTATAAAGGTAATTTAATTACATTCAATCACTAATAATTGGTTTTTTGTCATTTAAATTGTGATTCTTTACTAATAAAGCGTAGATAATTTTTATTTGTATTGGTTACTTTTATGCATATTGGGATAACTTTATTCATTTCAAGGATAACTTTTGTTCATTTTAGGGTAACTTTATATTGGATGTACAAGTACATCTGATTTGTTTAAAATTTTATCATTTCTTCCAAACCAAAAAAAAAAAAAAATCAAATCTCAAATGCCTGAGATTTAAGAGTTGTTGTTGAATCACTCAGCAATCTTATAAAAGATTAACAATACTCCCTCCGTTTCAATTTGTTAGTCCCATATACTATTTTGGGTGTTTCAAAAAGATGTACCCATATTTAATGTATTCCACTTTTAACTTAGTTTTTATTTCCTATTTTATACATATTAAATTCTGATTGGTTAAATTAATTTATATATTGTGCATTGATGACATGACTCTAAGTATAGAAATTATTCCCTTGAATTATGCAATTATAGTTGACGGTTTTCTAAAAAAATCAAAAAAAAAATTAAATAAGTTAAAACTATTTATGAATTGTTTTTTATTTTAATGTTAGATTCCAAATATTTTTCTTTTCTTATTTTATGTGATTGAAACGGAGGGAGTATTTAATTTCAATTATTGATGTTTACATTAGGATTTGGATTTCATTTTAGTTACCCATTATTGTGAGTGTTTAATTAAGGAAAAATATTGTGTAGAACGGACTCACGCGAGTACAATCATACAAAAAAAAATTGTTAGAAATAAATTAGATAATAATGGTCAGATATTAGATAATAAGTATCATAAATTAGATAATAAGGAGTTAGTATTATATACCCCTGCATCATGTACTCCATACCAATTATGATTAAGTTATTTTACCTAAACATTATGTTATTTTGCTTAAACATTATGTTATTTACTTATTTACTTCAACATGTATAAAAAAAAAAGCATGCAAGAACGAAATAACATGTACTTTTTAAAAAATAACATATGTATAAATTGAAATAATAAGAAAATCCTATCAAAATGACATGAATTTTATAAACTTGGAGTACATTGAAATGATCGATGTTGAATATTAAGAATATATATATATATATATATATATATATATATATATATATATATGCAAGTATAAAATAACATGTACTTATTTCAAAATAACATATATAAAAATCAAAATAATAAGAGGTTAACATCAAAATAACTTAAATTTTATAAACTTAGAGTACCATGCATGGTACACTCCAGGAGTAACATAAAAATTACAGATAATAAGTGTCAAAAATTAGATACTATTGATCAGGTATTACATAATAATTATCATAAATTAGATAATATTGGTCAAATATTAGATAATAAGTATCAGAGATTAAATAATAAGTGTCAAAAATTAAAAAAATATTGATCGGGTTTTATAAAATATTGATCAGATATTAGACATATAGTCGGTAAATAC